CCCAGCCCACCCCACCCCCCTCCCCCCCGATAACATTCATTCTGGGTTAAACCCCCTCCTCTCCCCCCCCCTCCGCTCCCACCCCCCCCACCCCCACCACCCCCCCCCACCCCCCCCGGTGGGTGGGGTGGGAGGTGTGGAGGGTGTGATGGGAGGCGGTACGTGTCGACGTGGCGGGGCTGGCGTGCGGCGTGCGAGGGCGGTATTGAGCGGCGGCACTCCTACGGGTTGGCTTCGGTCGAGCTTGGGTTGCTCCTAGCTGATAGAGGGCGGTAGGCGGAGCGCGATGCCACAACGGCTAGCACGCGGGGAATACTAGCAGTGTCGCGTCAGCCAGCTCCGGCGCGGACCGGGCCGACACAATCGGCATCTGCCCCAGTCTCGATCCGGTACAGGGGCTGAGGAGCGTCAAGGGTACGAAGGCGCGCTTTCCTGCTGTGGGTTCTCTGGGGGCTGGAGCGAGTTATGGGGGGGTAGGTGAGATGGTGGTTTTTTAGTGGAAGAATAAGGGAGGCGGTACAGGGAGAGGGAGTGAGCAGCCTACATCGTTCAGGCGTGAGATAGTAAAGAATTCCATCGGTGAAGCCGCTGGGCGGATCCATTTGTCCGACGCAGCAGTGGAGTACAGCTCCAGCGTCCCAGCACTACCATGGCCACATAGAGTATGATAGATGCTAGATCACCTGATCCGGTATTCTGACTCCGTATAAGCTTGCGCTAGGGGGGGCGACCCCTCACTGCCCCACCCCCCGCCACCCCCCCCCACCCCCCCCCCCCCCCTCACCCCCCCCCACCCGCGCCCCCCCCCCCCCACGCCCCCCCCCCCCCCCACCCCCCCCCCACCCCCCCCCCCCCCCCACCCCCCCCCCCCCCTCCCCCCACCCCACCAACCCCCCCCCCCCCCCCCCCCCCCTCTCCCGCCCTTCCCCTCCCCCCCCTCCCCCCACCCACCTTCTCCACCACCCCCCCCCCACACGCCCCCCCCCCACCCCCGACCCCCCCCCCCCCCCCCCCCGACCCCCCCGCCCCCACTCCCCACCCCCCCCACGTCACTCGTTTATACGGATACCCTCCCCCTCTCCCCCCCCCCACCCCTCCCCCACCCCCCCCTGCACCCCCGCTAAACAGTAGTTTGGTTTGTGCGTGCAAGAAAGGTCAGGGACCACCTACCCCACCCGTCCACCTTTCATCCCACCAACCTCTTCTCCTTCCACCCCGACCCTCATCGCCCATCCCCCACCACCCACCTAGCCCCGGAGCAGCCACTGGAGCTGACCACCTCCGCTGTCGCCCACGTCGCCAGCCCCGCGTCAATACCCACAGGCAGTGCAGACCACCCGACCGGGCAACGCCCCCCCTAGGTCAGCCATACCAGGAGCTAAGTATAAAGTATTTCCTACCAGAAGCCTCCCCACCTGCTAAAACTTCGTATAACCATGCAGCAGAACTATTTAGCCAACAAGCTAAACCCAAAGCTACATTTAGTTAACCTGGAGCTGAACAGCTAAAACTCGTTAACCTACAGAAAAACATAGTTAACCTGCAGCCAAACAAAACGTAAGTCTAGTTAAAGAGCTAAATCTACTTAACCGGCAGAAAACCAAGAGCCCAAAATAGTTAACCTGCAGCTAAATTCAAGTTCAGATAAATTTAATTCAAGTTTAGCTAAACAACAGCTAGATCTAGTTAACCTGCAGCTAAACAGCTAGCAGTTAACCTGCAGCCACACCTAACCAACCTACAGCTAAACAAGAGATAAACCAAGTTAACCTAAAGCTAGATCTAGTTAACCTACAAATAGGTCTAATTAACCTAAAAATAAATCTAATTAACCTACAGCTAAACAATATATAAACCTAGTTAACCTATAAATAGATCTAATTAACCTGCAGCTAAAAAGCTAGCAGTAAACCTGTGGCCAAACCTAGTTAACCTACAGCTAAACAATAGATAAACCTAGTTAACCTACAGCTAGATCTAGTTAACCTGCAGGTAAACAGCTAGCAGTTAACCTGCAGCCAAAGCTAACCAACCTACAGCTAAACAAGAGATAAACCAAGTTAACCTAAAGCTAGATCTAGTTAACCTACAAATAGATCTAATTAACCTAAAAATAAATCTAATTAACCTACAGCTAAACAATATATAAACCTAGTTAACCTATAAATAGATCTAATTAACCTGCAGCTAAAAAGCTAGCAGTAAACCTGTGGCCAAACCTAGTTAACCTACAGCTAAACAATAGATAAACCTAGTTAACCTACAGCTAGATCTAGTTAACCTGCAGGTAAACAGCTAGCAGTTAACCTGCAGCCAAAGCTAACCAACCTACAGCTAAACAAGAGATAAACCAAGTTAACCTACAGCTAGATCTAGTTTACCTACAGCTAGATCTAGTTAACCTAAAAATAGATCTAATTAACCTGCAGCTAAACAGCTAGCAGTTAACCTGCGGCCAAACCTAGTTAACCTACAGCTAAACAAGAGATAAACCAAGTTAACCTACAGCTAGATCTAGTGAACCTGCAGGTAAACAGCTAGCAGTTAACCTGCAGCCAAAGCTAACCAACCTACAGCTAAACAAGAGATAAACCAAGTTAACCTACAGCTAGATCTAGTTAACCTACAGCTAGATCTAGTTAACCTAAAAATAGATCTAATTAACCTGCAGCTAAACAGCTAGCAGTTAACCTGCAGCCAAACATAGTTAACCTACAACTAAATAAGAGATAAACCTAGTTAACCTGCAGCTAGATCTAGTTAATCTGTAGCTAGATCTAGTTAACCTGCAGCTAAACAGCTAGCAGTTAACCTGCGGCCAAACCTAGTTAACCCACAGCTAAACAAGAGATAAACCTAGTTAACCTGCAGTTAGATCTAGTTAACCTACAGCTAGATCTAGTTAACCTGCAGGTAAACAGCTAGCAGTTAACCTGCAGCCAAAGCTAACCAACCTACAGCTAAACAAGAGATAAACCAAGTTAACCTACAGCTAGATCTAGTTAACCTACAGCTAGATCTAGTTAACCTAAAAATAGATCTAATTAACCTGCAGCTAAACAGCTAGCAGTTAACCTGCAGCCAAACATAGTTAACCTACAGCTAAATAAGAGATAAACCTAGTTAACCTGCAGCTAGATCTAGTTAATCTGTAGCTAGATCTAGTTAACCTACAGCTAAACAGCTAGCAGTTTACCTGCAGCCAAGCATAGTTAACCTACAGCTAAACAAGAGATAAACCTAGGTAACCTGCAACTAGATCTAGTTAACCTACAGCTAGATCTAGTTAACCTACAAATAGATTTAATTAATCTACAAGTAAACAAGAGATAAACCTAGTTAACCTATAAATAGATCTTATTAACCTGCAGCCAAACCTACCTAATCTACATCTAAACAATAGATAAACCTAGTTAACCTACAGCTAAATATAGTTAACTACCTGCAACTAACACTCGGTAACCTACAGAAAAACATACTTAACCTGTAGGTAAACAAGAGGCAAAGCTAGTTAAACTGCAACTAAATTTAACTTAAGTTCAGCTTAACAACAGCTAGCTCTAGTTAACCTGCAGCTAAAACTAGTTAACTTGTAGCTAAAGGTAATCAGTGAGCAGCAGAAGGTTCTCCAGAGTCCAGACTGTTTATCAGTTTCACAGACTTCCTTCCTGCTGTTCATTAATACCTTCCTAATTGGATAGACGTGATAGATCAAGTTATTTCTGCTAGTTAATTCCCCCGCAGGGGGCGGAGCTCCTGCTTCCTGTCCAATCTGCTGATTCTCAAATCCAAACACATGTTCAGCAGCAGCAGAGTGGAGGAACAGAACCACAGTGTTCTGACCAATCATGTGTCTCCGCAGGTCACCCCTTCATCATGACCGTGGGCTGCGTGGCCGGCGACGAGGAGACGTACGATGTGTTCAAGGACCTGATGGACCCTGTGATCGAGGACCGCCATGGAGGATACAAACCCTCAGACAAACACAAGACCGACCTGAACGCAGAAAACCTGCAGGTGAACTAAACTAGAACTAAATAAACTGACCTCCTGGTTAACTAAACTAGAACCCAAAAAACTGACCTGCTAGTTAACTAAACTAGAACTAAATAAACTGACCTGCTAGTTAACTAAACTAGAACTAAATAAAATGACCTCCTGGTTAACTAAACTAGAACCCAATAAACTGACCTGCTGGTTAACTTAACTAGAACTAAATATACTAACCTCCTGGTAAACTAAACTAGAACCCAAAAAACTGACCTGCTAGTTAACTAAACTAGAACTAAATATACTAACCTCCTGGTTAACTAAACTAGAACTAAATAAACTGACCTGCTGGTTAACTAAACTAGAACTAAATAAACTGACCTCCTGGGTAACTAAACTAGAACCCAATAAAATGACCTCCTGGTTAACTAAACTAGAACCCAAAAAACTGACCTGCTAGTTAACTAAACTAGAACTAAATAAACTGACCTGCTGGTTAACTAAACTAGAACTAAATAAACTGACCTCCTGGTTAACTAAACTAGAACCCAATAAAATGACCTGCTGGTTAACTAAACTAGAACCCAATAAAATGACCTCCTGGTTAACTAAACTAGAACCCAATAAAATGACCTGCTGGTTAACTAAACTAGAACTAAATAAACTGACCTGCTGGTTAACTAAACTAGAACTAAATAAACTGACCTCCTGGTTAACTAATCTAGAACCCAATAAAATGACCTGCTGGTTAACTAAACTAGAACTAAATAAACTGACCTCCTGGTTAACTAAACTAAACCACTATAAACTGACCTGATGGTTAACTAAACTAGAACCCAATAAACTGAACTGCTGGTTAACTAAACTAGAACTAAATAAAATGACCTCCTGGTTAACTAAACTAGAACCCAATAAACTGACCTGCTCGTTAACTAAACTAGAACTAAATAAACTGACCTCCTGGTGAACTAAACTAGAACCCAATAAAATGACCTGGCGGTTAACTAAACTAGAACTAAATAAACTGACCTGCTGGTTAACTAAACTAGAACTAAATAAACTGACCTCCTGGGTAACTAAACTAGAACCCAATAAAATGACCTGCTGGTTAACTAAACTAGAACTAAATAAACTGACCTGCTGGTTAACTAAACTAGAACTAAATAAACTGACCTCCTGGTTAACTAAACTAGAACCCAAAAAACTGACCTGCTAGTTAACTAAACTAGAACTAAATAAACTGACCTGCTAGTTAACTAAACTAGAACTAAATAAAATGACCTCCTGGTTAACTAAACTAGAACCCAATAAACTGACCTGCTGGTTAACTTAACTAGAACTAAATATACTAACCTCCTGGTTAACTAAACTAGAACTAAATAAACTGACCTGCTGGTTAACTAAACTAGAACTAAATAAACTGACCTCCTGGTTAACTAAACTAGAACTAAATAAACTGACCTGCTGGTTAACTAAACTAGAACTAAATAAACTGACCTCCTGGGTAACTAGAACCCAATAAAATGACCTGCTGGTTAACTAAACTAGAACTAAATAAACTGACCTGCTGGTTAACTAAACTAGAACTAAATAAACTGACCTCCTGGTTAACTAAACTAGAACCCAAAAAACTGACCTGCTAGTTAACTAAACTAGAACTAAATAAACTGACCTGCTAGTTAACTAAACTAGAACTAAATAAAATGACCTCCTGGTTAACTAAACTAGAACCCAATAAACTGACCTGCTGGTTAACTTAACTAGAACTAAATATACTAACCTCCTGGTTAACTAAACTAGAACTAAATAAAATGACCTCCTGGTTAACTAAACTAGAACCCAATAAACTGACCTGCTCGTTAACTAAACTAGAACTAAATAAACTGACCTCCTGGTGAACTAAACTAGAACCCAATAAAATGACCTGGCGGTTAACTAAACTAGAACTAAATAAACTGACCTGCTGGTTAACTAAACTAGAACTAAATAAACTGACCTCCTGGGTAACTAAACTAGAACCCAATAAAATGACCTCCTGGTTAACTAAACTAGAACCCAAAAAACTGACCTGCTAGTTAACTAAACTAGAACTAAATAAACTGACCTGCTAGTTAACTAAACTAGAACTAAATAAAATGACCTCCTGGTTAACTAAACTAGAACCCAATAAACTGACCTGCTGGTTAACTTAACTAGAACTAAATATACTAACCTCCTGGTTAACTAAACTAGAACTAAATAAACTGACCTGCTGGTTAACTAAACTAGAACTAAATAAACTGACCTCCTGGGTAACTAAACTAGAACCGATTAGACAAAGCTGTTTGCTACCAGAACCAGATCATAGGGAGAATTGTGGGTAAAATCAAACTAAAACAGCAGCAAACTAATCTTTACCAGTCTGCTCGGTACCGGCCGACCCGTTCTGACCATTGGTACCAGAAGCCACCGTGGGGCCAAAGGATGGAGATCATGGAACCGGTTCCTGGAAGGTCCGTTAAACAGACGCAGGCTTCTAGGCCATGGAAATGGTTCCACTGCTGGTGCTGATTGGCTCCGCTGTCCGTGGTGCTGAAACAGGACTGCTACATTTTCCAACCCTCTTCCTGCCGTTTTCAGGGCGGAGATGATCTGGACCCAAACTACGTGCTGAGCTCTCGGGTCCGGACCGGAAGGAGCATCCGTGGCTTCTGCCTGCCGCCGCACTGCAGCCGCGGGGAACGCCGCGCCATCGAGCAGCTCTCCATCGAAGGTACACAACCATTCCTGCAGCTCGCTGGGGTCCAGTTCCACAACTCCAGAACTTCTGATCTTGATTTGCTGGAAGCTTCATGTGAACATGGCAGGTTTTTACGTAAAAGCAGCAGGAAACAGAACGATGGGTGAAGGTTATGGTTATGACAGGTTAGGCGTGGAAGGCGGAGGGACCACAACTGAAACAGAACCTGAGGCCGGCGTTCAGGAGGATGATTAGTCACCTCTGTTATCTGAGCAGCTTGGACCTGAAGCAGCTCCACCATCATCAGCACCACGCCGTGCTGCGTTCAGGGACACCCTGGTGGTGAAATCCTGGGGTTTCTCTGCCTGTCCAAGCTTCTTTAGATCTGGCTGCATCGGATAAGTCTTTATTTTTAGACTTCCCATCATGCCTCAGTGAGCCGCCGGCGTAAGCAGCAGCAGATCAAACTGTTGCGTAACCATGAGCAGAACGTCGTCCTGCAGAAAACCATAATGAGCTCAGCAGCTTTTCTGCTCCAGATAAACACAGGAGGACCCTCTGATGCCCCCTGCTGTTCAAACAGAACATTTAGGTTTTTTTTTCCAGGAACAGGCGGAAGCTCAGTGAGGAACTCTGATGGCATCCGGTTCAGCACTCTGGACAGAACCACAAACCCATTTTGACCAGAACATAGACTGATCCCTTCCCTGCTGCTCAGGGATGCTTCATCACCCACAGCAGAGGATCGGCCATCTGTCGCCATGGAAACCATTACCGTGGCAGCCTAGTGGTTAGGGAATAGAGCTTGGAATCCAGTGGTTCTGAGTTTGAATCCCACTCCCTCAGACTGCCACACTGCTCCCTGGGCGATGCACAATGGCAGCCCACTGCTCCGGGTTAAATGCAGAGAGGGAATTTCATTGCTCTGTACTGGAGACGGTGGAATGACAATAAAAACACTGGAAAAAAAAAACATTTTAGAAACTGATCTGACTAAAATAATTATTTCCAGTTTTATTAATATATATATATTAGTTATTCTTCATAGTTGAACTTTTCTCAAAGTTTTCACCTTCAATTCAGTTTATTTCTAGAGCTTCCAATTCACATCACGGTATCTTTATAGATCTAGATAAATAAGATCATCCAGTCATTGATGTAAAGACAGCAGAGGTTCTCTGGCTGAACCACAGGAGCCGGACTGACGCCTGAAGGTCAGCGGCGTGCAGCTCTGAGGCAGAACGCCACAGAATGTCTGAACTTCTGATGACAAAAATAAAAACAAATCATTTTCTGATCTTTAAAACTCAGATTAAAGATTTTCTAAAGTTTAAAAAGATTGAATCAAAATTCTGGGTCCAGATGTTTTCCAGGACCTTTAACTCCTCAGACTCTGCAGTTAGAACAGGAAACCGTGCTGCGTTCAACATCGTTAGACGTTGAGGTTGAACATTTTTACAGAACTTCTTCCTTCTACTTGCTTGGTACCGACCCAGTGTGCCGAAGGTACCAACACCTGCTGGCCCAACGAAACCCATAGAGGAGTCCAGAACCATGGTGGTCTGAAGGCGGAGCAACCTGGACCTCAGCAGAACCACAGGCTGAGCCCAGACCCGGTTCTGAATGCACAGGCGGTCCGCTGGGACCAGATTGCTCTGAAATCATTTCCTGAGATTCTCCAGAACCTGAAATTCTGAGGTTCTGGTTCCAGACATGGCTTCGCTGTTAGCATCTGATGCTAGCGGCTGAACCCAGAACCTTTGGACCAGAACCGGCCCTTTACCTCTGACTGGTTCTGCCTGCAGCTCTGGACTCTCTGGAGGGGGACCTGAAGGGGAAGTACTACGCCCTGAAGAACATGACGGAGGAGGAGCAGCAGCAGCTCATCGATGACCACTTCCTGTTCGATAAGCCCGTGTCTCCTCTGCTGCTGGCGTCCGGGATGGCCCGCGATTGGCCCGACGCCCGCGGCATCTGGTCAGTATTCCCGCCTCCCGGCAGCCCGTCTGGACCCGATGGTTCTGACCCGAACGTCCTCCTTCTCCTTCAGGCATAATGACAACAAGACCTTCCTGGTGTGGGTGAATGAGGAGGACCACCTGCGCGTCATTAGCATGCAGAAGGGAGGCAACATGCGGGAGGTCTTCACACGCTTCTGCACCGGCCTCACCAAGGTACGTCCCTCTGTCTCTCTGTCTGTCCATCTGTCCCACCTTCGTCCTCACCAGTCCCCTTCATCCACCAGATCGAAGACCTGTTTAAGAACCGAGGACACGAGTTCATGTGGAACGAACACCTGGGCTACGTCCTGACCTGCCCGTCCAACCTGGGGACGGGGCTGCGCGCCGGCGTCCACGTCAAGCTGCCCAACCTCAGTAAGCACGAGAAGTTCGGGGACATCCTGAAGAGGCTGCGGCTGCAGAAGAGAGGGACAGGTAGGCATCGTTTTGGGGGGGGGGCGGGGTGGCCCGGCAGCGGCTCGCATCACTTCCTGTCTGTGTTTCAGGGGGGGTGGACACCGCGGCGGTGGGCGGAGTCTTTGACATCTCCAACGCGGACCGTCTGGGCTTCTCTGAGGTGGAGCTGGTCCAGATGGTGGTGGACGGGGTCAACCTGCTGGTCAACATGGAGAAGCGACTGGAGGGCGGCGAGGACATCGAGGACATGATGCCGGAGCAGAAGTGACCTGTGACCCTAACCCCTCCCCCTCCTCCTCACCTGTCACAACCCCCCCCCCCCCCCGTCCTGGACCTGCAGGACGCTTAGAGCCTCAGTTAGTCTTCCAACATGTGAAGGATTTTCTATCTCCTCATCAGAACCTGTTGGACCCGTCTAACACCTGAAATATCTAATAAAGTCTCTGTGGCCCCAAAGCACAACCTGTCTTCATTTCAAACAGCAACAGTTTCAAGCAGGACGCCGTGCTGCGTTCAGTGTCTAAAATCTGCAACAGTTTCAAACAAGACGCCGTGCTGCGTTCAGTGTCTAAAATCTGCAAAAGTTTCCAACAGGACACCGTGCTGCGTTCAGTGTCTAAATTCAGCAACAGTTTCAGACAGGACGCTGTGCTGCGTTCAGTGTCTAAAATCTGCAACAGTTTCAGACAGGACGCCGTGCTGCGTTCAGTGTCTAAAATCTGCAAAAGTTTCCAACAGGACACCGTGCTGCGTTCAGTGTCTAAAATCTGCAACAGTTTCAAACAGGACGGCGTGCTGCGTTCAGTGTCTAAAATCTGCAACAGTTTCCAACAGGACACCGTGCTGCGTTCAGTGTCTAAAATCTGCAACAGTTTCAAACAGGACGGCGTGCTGCGTTCAGTGTCTAAAATCTGCAACAGAATTACAGGGACGCAGTGCTGCGTTCAGTGTCTAAAATCTGCAACAGTTTCAAACAGGACGCCGTGCTGCGTTCAACATGGCTAGAATCTGCAGCAGTTAGAAAACAGGAAGCCATGCTGCGTTCAACATGGCTAGAATCTGCAGCAGTTGAAAACAGGATGCCGTGCTGCGTTCAACATGGCTAGAATCTGCAGCAGTTAGAAAACAGGACGCCATGCTGCGTTCAACATGGCTAGAATCTGCAGCAGTTAGAAAACAGGACGCCGTGCTGCGTTCAACATGGCTAGAATCTGCAGCAGTTAGAAAACAGGACGCCGTGCTGCGTTCAACATGGCTAGAATCTGCAGCAGTTGAAAACAGGACGCCGTGCTGCGTTCAACATGGCTAGAATCTGCAGCAGTTAGAAAACAGGACGCCGTGCTGCGTTCAACATGGCTAGAATCTGCAGCAGTTAGAAAACAGGACGCCGTGCTGCGTTCAACATGGCTAGAATCTGCAGCAGTTAGAAAACAGGACGCCGTGCTGCGTTCAACATGGCTAGAATCTGCAGCAGTTAGAAAACAGGACGCCGTGCTGCGTTCAACATGGCTAGAATCTGCAGCAGTTAGAAAACAGGACGCCGTGCTGCGTTCAACATGGCTAGAATCTGCAGCAGTTAGAAAACAGGACGCCGTGCTGCGTTCAACATGGCTAGAATCTGCAGCAGTTAGAAAACAGGAAGCCATGCTGCGTTCAACATGGCTAGAATCTGCAGCAGTTGAAAACAGGATGCCGTGCTGCGTTCAACATGGCTAGAATCTGCAGCAGTTAGAAAACAGGACGCCATGCTGCGTTCAACATGGCTAGAATCTGCAGCAGTTAGAAAACAGGACGCCGTGCTGCGTTCAACATGGCTAGAATCTGCAGCAGTTAGAAAACAGGACGCCGTGCTGCGTTCAACATGGCTAGAATCTGCAGCAGTTAGAAAACAGGAAGCCATGCTGCGTTCAACATGGCTAGAATCTGCAGCAGTTAGAAAACAGGACGCCATGCTGCGTTCAACATGGCTAGAATCTGCAGCAGTTAGAAAACAGGACGCCGTGCTGCGTTCAACATGGCTAGAATCTGCAGCAGTTAGAAAACAGGACGCCGTGCTGCGTTCAACATGGCTAGAATCTGCAGCAGTTAGAAAACAGGAAGCCATGCTGCGTTCAACATGGCTAGAATCTGCAGCAGTTGAAAACAGGATGCCGTGCTGCGTTCAACATGGCTAGAATCTGCAGCAGTTAGAAAACAGGACGCCATGCTGCGTTCAACATGGCTAGAATCTGCAGCAGTTAGAAAACAGGACGCCGTGCTGCGTTCAACATGGCTAGAATCTGCAGCAGTTAGAAAACAGGACGCCGTGCTGCGTTCAACATGGCTAGAATCTGCAGCAGTTAAAAAGAGGACGCCGTGCTGCGTTCAACATGGCTAGAATCTGCAGCAGTTAGAAAACAGGACGCCGTGCTGCGTTCAACATGGCTAGAATCTGCAGCAGTTGAAAAGAGGACGCCGTGCTGCGTTCAACATGGCTAGAATCTGCAGCAGTTAGAAAACAGGACGCCGTGCTGCGTTCAACATGGCTAGAATCTGCAGCAGTTAGAAAACAGGACGCCGTGCTGCGTTCAACATGGCTAGAATCTGCAGCAGTTAGAAAACAGGACGCCGTGCTGCGTTCAACATGGCTAGAATCTGCAGCAGTTAGAAAACAGGACGCCGTGCTGCGTTCAACATGGCTAGAATCTGCAGCAGTTAAAAAGAGGACGCCGTGCTGCGTTCAACATGGCTAGAATCTGCAGCAGTTAGAAAACAGGACGCCGTGCTGCGTTCAATGTGTTTAATGAGACACAGGTGAGCCGGAGCTTCAGGCAGCTGCTGTCGCTCACATGTAGAAAATCAAAAATGTGACAAACTATTTACATTCACAAAAACACAGACCCCCATAATGCTTTGCAGCAAAGCCCACCCAGCCCAGCGTCCAATCAACAGACAGCTCAGACTGTCCAGGACTACAGAGGCGGCTCCTTCCTGTCCAGGTCAGTCTTGTCCCCGCCCCCGTCCCCTATAGTTTCAGTTCATTGGCAATCTTTGAAGCAATGTTTTTGAAAGCGATGGACGTTCCTGAAATGCGCTTGAAGCGAACTCCGTTGAGCGAGAGGCGGGGCAGCTTGCAGACCTCCATCTCCCATTGGACCAGACTGTCGGCCTGGCCGTCGCCATGGACGCAGAGCAGCAGGAACGGCTCCCGCTGCTCGTAGTCGCAGTTATTGGCGTCCAGGACCTTCCGAATCTCCCTCATCATGTCCAGAGGCTCCATGGACGACGTGGTCTTCATGCTCCAGGTGAACCTCAGAGAGTGCGGCTTGGCGTCCTTGGAGTGGAGCGCGGCGGGGGAGGCAGGCTCCTCCCTCTGATCTGACGTCACGTTGCGGCTGCAGAAAGAAGAAAAAGATGAAACATCTGAGCAATGATCAAACCCTGCTCTCTGATTGGTTCTCCTCCTCTGAGGTTTAATGGTGCTGGTTCTCCTCCTCTGAGGTTTAATGGTGCTGGTTATCCTCCTCTGAGGTTTAATGGTGCTGGTTATCCTCCTCTGAGGTTTAAAGGGGCTGGTTCTCCTCCTCTGAGGTTTAATGGGGCCGGTTCTCCTCCTCTGAGGTTTAATGGGGCTGGTTCTCCTCCTTTTGAGGTTTAAATGGGGCTGGTTCTCCCTCTCTGAGGTTTAATGGGCGGTTCTCCTCCTCTGAGGTTTAAGTGGGCCGGTTTCTCCTCCTCTGAGGTTTAAATGGGGGCTGGTTCTCCTCCTCTGAGGTTAATGGGGCTTTCTCCTCCTATGAGTTTAATGGGGCTGGTTCGTCCTCCTCTGAGGTTTAAAGGGGCGGTTCTCCTCCTTAGGTTTAAAGGGGCTTCCCTCCTTTCTCCCTTCCCTTTCCCCTTCCCCCCCCCCTCCCCTTTTCTTCCCTTTTTCTTTCCTTTCCCCCTTTTCCCCCCCAACTTCCTTTCTTCTCCCCCTTTCCTTTCCCCTTTCCCCCCTCCTCCCTCTTCTCTCCTTTCCCTTTCTCTCTTCCCCCCTTTTCCCCCTTTGTTTTTGGGTTCTCCCCTTCTTTTTGGGTCTTCCCCCTATTTTTTCTTTGGGTTTTCCCCTCCCCTCTTTTTTCTTTTTCCCTCTCATTTAAAACTTTCTCCTCCTCGGGGGGGAAATTTTTTCTTTTTCCCCCTTTTTTTTTCTTTTTTTTTTTTTATTTTTTTCCCCTTCCTCTTTTTCCCTTTTCCCCCTTATATTTTTTTAATTTTTTCCCCCTTTTTTTTCCTTTCTTTTTTTCCCCCAATTTTCTCCTCTCTTTTCTTTCTCCCCCTTTTTTCTTTCCCCCTCCTTTTTTTTTTCCCCCTTTTCCCCTTCCTTTTTCTTTTCTCCTTTTTTTTCCTTTCTCCCCCTCTTTTTTCCCCCCTTTCTTTCCCTCCTCCTTTTCTTTCTCCTCCTTTTTTCCTTTCCCCCTCCTTTATTTTTCCTTTTCCCCTTCTTTTTTTCTTTCCCCTTTTCCCCTCCTAAATTTTTCCCCCCTCTATTTTTTCTTTTCTCCCCTTTGTTTTTGGGGCTTTTTTTTCCCCCTTCCTGGGTTTTTCTTTCTCCCCCTTTTTTTCTTTTTCTCCTCCTCTTTTTTCTTCTCCCCTTTTTTCGGCTCCCCCCCTTGGGGTTTTTTTCTTTTTTTCTCTTTCCCCTCTTTTTCCTTCTCCCCCCTTTTTTTTTCTCCTCCTATGAGGTTTAATGGGGCTGGTTATCCTCCTTTGAGGTTTAATGGGCGGTTCCCCCTCTGAGGTTTAAGGGGGGCCGGGGTTTTCCCTCCTATGGGGTTTAAGGGGCGGTTACCCCCTGGGGTTTTAATGGGGCCGGTTCTCCTCCTCGAGGTTTTAAGGGGGCCCGGGTTTCTCCTCCTCTGGGTTTAAGGGGGCCGTTTCCCCCTCTGAGTTTAAGGGGGGCGGGTTCCCTCCTCGAGGTTTAAGGGGGCGGGTTTTTCTCCTCCTCTGGGGTTTTAAGGGGGCTGGTTTCTCCTCCTCTGGGGTTAATGGGGCCGGTTTTTTCTCCTCCTCTGAGGTTTTAATGGTCCGGTTTCCCCCCCTGAGGTTAAAGGGGCCGGTTTTTTCTCCTCCTATGAGGTTTAATGGGGGCCGGTTCTCCTCCTCTGAGGGTAATGGGGCTGGGTTCTCCTCCTCGAGGTTTAATGGGGCCGTTTCCCCCCCTTTGAGTTTTAATGGTGCCGGGGGCTCCTCCTCTAGGTTTAAATGGGGCCGGTTTTCTCCCCCTAGAGGTTTAAAGGGGCTGGTTCTCCTCCTCGGGGTTTAATGGGCTGGTTCTCCTCCTATGAGGTTTAATAGGGCTGGTTCTCCCCCCTATGGGGGTTTAAAAAAGGGGCTGGTTACCCTCCTCTGGGGTTTTTAAGGGGGGCCGGGTTTCTCCTCCTAGAGGTTTAAAGGGCGGGTTTTCTCCTCCTATGGGGTTTAAGGGGGCTGGTTTTATCCCCCTTTGAGGTTTAATGGGGCTGGTTCTCCTCCTCTGGGGTTTTTAAGGGGGGCCTTTCCTCCTATAGGTTTAATGGGGCGGGTTAAACCTCCTCGGGTTTAAATGGGCCGGGTTCTCCTCCTCTGAGGTTTAAGGGGGCCGGTTTCCTCCTCTGAGGTTTAATGGGGCCGGTTCTCCTCCTCTGAGGTTTAATGGGGCTGGTTCTCCTCCTCTGAGGTTTAATGGGGCTGGTTCTCCTCCTCTGAGGTTTAATGGGGCCGGTTCTCCTCCTCTGAGGTTTAATGGTGCCGGTTCTCCTCCTCTGAGGTTTAATGGTGCCGGTTCTCCTCCTATGAGGTTTAAAGGGGCCGGTTCTCCTCCTCTGAGGTTTAATGGTGCCGGTTCTCCTCCTATGAGGTTTAAAGGGGCCGGTTCTCCTCCTATGAGGTTTAATGGGGCCGGTTCTCCTCCTCTGAGGTTTAATGGTGCCGGTTCTCCTCCTATGAGGTTTAAAGGGGCCGGTTCTCCTCCTATGAGGTTTAATGGGGCTGGTTATCCTCCTATGAGGTTTAATGGGGCTGGTTCTCCTCCTCTGAGGTTTAATGGGGCTGGTTCTCCTCCTCTGAGGTTTAATGGTGCCGGTTCTCCTCCTCTGAGGTTTAATGGGGCTGGTTCTCCTCCTATGAGGTTTAATAGGGCTGGTTCTCCTCCTCTGAGGTTTAATGGGGCTGGTTCTCCTCCTCTGAGGTTTAATGGGGCCGGTTCTCCTCCTCTGAGGTTTAATGGTGCCGGTTCTCCTCCTCTGAGGTTTAATGGTGCCGGTTCTCCTCCTATGAGGTTTAAAGGGGCCGGTTCTCCTCCTCTGAGGTTTAATGGTGCCGGTTCTCCTCCTATGAGGTTTAAAGGGGCCGGTTCTCCTCCTATGAGGTTTAATGGGGCTGGTTATCCTCCTATGAGGTTTAATGGGGCTGGTTCTCCTCCTATGAGGTTTAAAGGGGCTGGTTCTCCTCCTCTGAGGTTTAATGGTGCCAGTGCTCCTCCTCTGAGGTGGTGGAGGAGGTGGAGGACTATAGATACTTGGGAGTGATAATTGACAATAGACTGGACTGGAGGTCTAACTCTGAGGCTGTGTACAAGAAGGGGATGAGCAGACTCTATTTCTTGAGGAAGCTGAGATCCTTCAATGTGTGCAGCAAGATGTTTGAGATCTTTTACCAGTCTGTTGTTGCCAGCACCATTTTCTTTGCTGCTGTGTGTTGGGGCAGCAGCATCAGAGCCAGCGACACCAACAGACTTGATAAAATCATCAGGAGGGCTGGTTCTGTACTTGGACTCAGGCTGGAGTCTTTTGAGACTGTGGTGGAGAGGAGAACGCTGAATAAACTCTTACCCATCATTGACAATGATCAGCACCCTCTCCACCACACAGTGGTCAGACAGCGGAGCACCTTTTCTCACAGGCTGCTCCAGCTCCGCTGTCGAAGGGACAGATACAGGAAATCTTTCCTACCATATGCCATCACATTGTACAATAAAAAATAAACTCTTGTTTCAGCATACAGTAACCAGCACTGTACTGTACTGCACTCCATATTTTAATACTTATTTATAATCTGTTCACTGCACCCTTATTATGTAAATTACCCTTATAATGTAAATACGCGTGGATGTTATGTTATTTTTACTTTTTTCTTATCTTATTGTGTTGTGACTGTCACTATGTGTAAAGCTGCTGCTACACTGCAATTTCCCAGCTTGGGATAAATAAAGTACATCTATCTATCTAAAGGGGCCGGTTCTCCTCCTCTGAGGTTTAATGGGGCTGGTTCTCCTCCTCTGAGGTTTAATGGGGCCGGTTCTCCTCCTCTGAGGTTTAATGGTGCCGGTTCTCCTCCTATGAGGTTTAATGGTGCCGGTTCTCCTCCTATGAGGTTTAAAGGGGCCGGTTCTCCTCCTCTGAGGTTTAATGGGGCCGGTTCTCCTCCTCTGAGGTTTAATGGGGCTGGTTCTCCTCCTATGAGGTTTAATGGGGCTGGTTCTCCTCCTATGAGGTTTAAAGGGGCCGGTTCTCCTCCTCTGAGGTTTAATGGGGCCGGTTCTCCTCCTCTGAGGTTTAATGGGGCTGGTTCTCCTCCTCTGAGGTTTAATGGGGCCGGTTCTCCTCCTCTGAGGTTTAATGGGGCCGGTTCTCCTCCTATGAGGTTTAATGGGGCTGGTTCTCCTCCTCTGAGGTTTAATGGGGCCGGTTCTCCTCCTCTGAGGTTTAATGGTGCCGGTTCTCCTCCTCTGAGGTTTAATGGTGCTGGTTATCCTCCTTTGAGGTTTAATGGGGCTGGTTCTCCTCCTATGAGGTTTAATGGGGCTGGTTCTCCTCCTCTGAGGTTTAATGGTGCTGGTTATCCTCCTTTGAGGTTTAAAGGGGCTGGTTCTCCTCCTCTGAGGTTTAATGGTGCTGGTTATCCTCCTTTGAGGTTTAATGGGGCTGGTTCTCCTCCTATGAGGTTTAATGGGGCTGGTTCTCCTCCTCTGAGGTTTAATGGGGCTGGTTCTCCTCCTATGAGGTTTAATGGGGCCGGTTCTCCTCCTATGAGGTTTAATGGGGCTGGTTATCCTCCTCTGAGGTTTAATGGGGCCGGTTCTCCTCCTCTGAGGTTTAATGGGGCCGGTTCTCCTCCTCTGAGGTTTAATGGGGCCGGTTCTCCTCCTCTGAGGTTTAATGGGGCTGGTTCTCCTCCTCTGAGGTTTAATGGGGCTGGTTCTCCTCCTCTGAGGTTTAATGGGGCTGGTTCTCCTCCTCTGAGGTTTAATGGGGCCGGTTCTCCTCCTCTGAGGTTTAATGGTGCCGGTTCTCCTCCTCTGAGGTTTAATGGTGCCGGTTCTCCTCCTATGAGGTTTAATGGGGCCGGTTCTCCTCCTCTGAGGTTTAATGGGGCT